ATAGCTCTCCACATAATATATGGGTAAATTTACTCAAAGCACTTGTTATCAGCTGTCAATCTGCTTCTTAGCCTGCATTTGGCTATGTTTCAGGTACCAAAGGAGAAAGCAAGAATTATTCCATGGCTTTTGCCCTGAGGGAACTAATTGTCACTTCTGAATTTACTGAATTACATGTGAAAGTAATTGCTGTTCTTCTGCTCTCTTCTGGTATTATTCACATAAATCCTATGTAAAGCTACATCTGTATACGTTGAGTCAGTTTATTCAAAAGTGGATGATACCTGTATACATGTTCTTAGATAGCTGCAAGTAGTTATTTGAAAAATTATCTTACCGATGTCTTTCCATATTGAGACATCTTTGAAGGTATATTGACTCCTTCCTCTTGGATTCTAGTCAATGTGTTTGCCCATGTTTTACCATGGACTAAGGAATTTTATGCTGTTCATTGTTTTTCTTCTTTACATATTGAACAGTAATTTCTTGGTTTTCTCGTATCATTGTCTTATTCCAAACTCCTTTGTAAATGAGCTTCTTAAGTTTCAGTGAGGATTTCCGGAGATACAAATTGTCCTATCCTTTCTTATTATCTGGCACTCACTAAGGTTCATTGCAGAGTGGTGGGAGGGGGAGGAGAGAGAGAGAGAGAGAGAGAGAGAGAGAGAGAGAGAGAAACATTAACCAACAGTTTTCTTTTATGAACAAGAAAATTGGCCGTTTTCCTATTAGCATATGAGGAACCTAAGAATGTCCTCTGTTGTCAAGGCAACAGCTATTCCTTAGGTAGCTGCAACAGAAAAGAAGCCAGAGCAATCTTTTTAGGATCAAATTTTTTTATCATCAAATCATAGAAAGAGAACCTTGATAGTCTACCTAGCCTATTTTGTCTTTAGTTAAGACCTACTGCAATAATTTGAAACCAATACAAAAAAGTCCTCTTTTAAATTGTTCTGAAGAACTCAAATAGCTTTCCCTGGTAATCATTTGTAATGTCTTACAGTGCACACTGAAAATAAATTTTTCCAATAAATCTAACTTAAATCTTCCATGCTGCCACTTGAAATCACTTCCTACAGTTCTATTCTGTGGAAATAAATAATTGTACACTTTCTAAAAGAGTCTTGCATAACCTTAAAAAAAAACTCTTAAATTTCTTAAAGTGAACAGTGCTAGATCTTTTTATCTTTCCAGCCATAGGTATTGTAGTTGTCCTCTCATGAATTCTATACTCTGCAATGCCATCTCTAGCTAGGAAATCCAGTTCTGCCCCTTAACTTACATAGAAGGCTGACTGGTGATAAAAAGAATAGGACACCAAGTTCTCAATCTGTCTATTCAAGTATCCTAGGTAAATTTTAGCTGTAGGATTTTCTTCATTGTCAGAGTTGTTTGGTTTGGTTTGGTTTCATGGACTGCCTAATACAACTTTTTCTGTGTGTGAGCATAATCATTCATTCTTCACCTGATATTTGGACAACTGATTTGTCTCTTCAAGTAGACAACTACTTTTAGCTCTCCTTGTAGAATTGTCTTGGTTTTCTTCCTTTCCACACTTGCATCAATAAATGAATGACCATATTTCTAGTTCCACTGTACACATCAATGATTAGTATATGTTGTGCACTAGGTATAGGAAAAATTCTGGACACTTGATCTTAAGATATCCACACTGGTCAGCCAGAAACAAACAAAAACTTATAACTAGGACCAGATAATTCCTTTTTTTCTCATTTGATTTCTTGAGTCAATCAAGGAGGATTAATCGACATGCTTTAATTCAGATTTTATGTGATCTAGTGAATGACCTCTAACATATGAATTTGGAAAACCTCGTTCTAGATCAATCAAAATGGCAAGTCATTTAAGTTCTCTTGCCCTATCTCTGGGTTACACTGAAGATGCTAGTGATTCTAGGATAGAGTAATAGCTTAAGTGCCAGGCTCCAGGTATCCCATCTCTTTGTTTACATTACCAAATCTACATTCCTCTGCCTGTATGATCGTGAACTCTATTGGCTTTATTTTCCTTATGAGCATATAGGGCTTTTGAGAAAATTAATCTAATCTATATAATGTACTACATATTTTGAACACCAAGTATTTGGTAAATAGCAATTTTATTGTAACATTTTGGACTATTCAATGTTTTTTAAATATTTATTTATTATTTGAAATGAGGCTTCTCTACATTGGTGAGACTTGCCCAGAAGTCCTAAGCTTGAGTGACCTCTGACCTCCTGCCTCAGGCTCTCAAGTAGCTGGGACTGTAAGTCTACACCCCCATGCCAGGCACTCAGTGTTCACTTCTGAAAGTGCATGCAAGATTCTCTAGAAAAAGTTACCAATCAGCCAGGCATGGTGGCACACAGTTGTGATCTCAGCACTAGGGAGGCTGAGGCAGGAGGATCACTGTGAGTTCGAGGCCAGCCTGAACTACAAACCAGGACCTTGTCTCAAAAAAAAAAGAAGTTACCAATCACTTTCTAAGTGGCATTCTCCTGTGAAGAATTTAAATGAGAGGGGAGACCAGGAGGTGAAGAAGAGCAGGGTGTCATCTATGACCAGAGCTATTTAAATTTGTTATGCTGTCAATGTTTTAAATGATCCCTGTGGCTTGTTAAGGCCAGTTCTCATAATCACTGTGATTACTACACCTAACTTTGTCTTATTTTTCAATGTATTTTTGTTTATATAAGTAATACATGAAAACTCTTCATTGTGAAGGAACTGAATAACAATGTTATACATACAATGAATATCTAGCGTTCCTGTTTGTCCTTAATAATATTTCCCTTCCCTTGGAGCAACATCTTTGACTAAGATTGATGTACCCAAAGTAGAAGGGAAAAGTCCACAAATACTGCTAGTTCTAACTATTTTTCCCATGCTGTAGAACAAATGATACTGGACCTTGACTATACCTCTATTTGTTAAGAAATAATTATTTCATGAAATTCTTCAGAATCTGCAGTCAATGTGTACCACTTATTTTAACTGTGCCATAGAGTATTTGCTTTTGATATAGACAGAATCTCAGATCATGATGTGATTCCTCACACACCCTAATCCTTGCCAGATAGCCGTGCCACTTTAGCTGTTGCCTGTTCACATGAGTAAGGATCATGAAGTTAAATTTTATATCATTTGGGCAAGAATAATATCAAGAAAATTAATATCTTTATTTTATAATACTCTATGGCTTTTTTTCTGAAAGAGTCATGGTCAATGTCTTTGTGCCAGCATAGGAAGTAATGAATGAACACACACATGTCCATATACATTCACACATACTCTCTTTCCAACAAATGAAATTAAGAATGTGATGATCATCTCCTCCTAACAGTTTCTTCTGAGCTCAGAAGAAACTAGTTTTGGGAAAACTCTTGCTATCTTTTGCCAATAGAGTTCTTACACCAAAATCTGAGCTGGCTTTTCAATTTGATTTGGTTGTGGGAGGCGAGGCAGGGGTTGTGTTGTCATAAGTCTTCTGCTTCCCCCCCACTCCCCACATTGGTTGAGCCTCACTGCTCTTCACCATAATCCTCCCAGACCCACTTTGCACATTGGTTGAGCCTCACTGCTCCAACAAGTAATGCACTTCTGACACAATGAAGGGATGGCAGGAGTGGTGTGGGGAAAATCAGATAATGTAGGCACAAGCTTGACAGACTTGCTGCCTTTCAAGTGGCACATTATGAACTGGCCAAGTGAAACATGAAGGTATTATCCTGTGTTATCTGGTAGTTGAATGGGGTGCAGCTTCCTTCATGGTAAGGTGCTTGGCTTATTGCCACAGGATCTCCCTGTAGCTGCTTCACATATTCACTCAGAGTGCTGCCTGCTCACCTCTACTAACTCTTTTGACTCCAACCTACCCCAGAATAAGAGACGAGAACATGTGAGGATCAGGTAATGACTCTGACAGACTGGTTTTATGAACAGCAGGTCAATTTAGAAATGTCTGCAAATGGAAAAGTGATTTTAGGGATTCCAGGTTAAAATAAAGAGAACCTAGGTTTCATAGGGTTTCCTGTACCCACACAGCTTCCCAGGACTGGCTTCTGTCTTCTCACAGCAAAACATATCAGTATTGTAAAATTATCTTCTATGCCAGAAAGGAAACTGTAAACACACACACACACACACACACACACACACACACACACCCCACAGTTAGAGTCTGTATGAAGTGACTCCAAAGTCAAATGTTTTAGACAAGCTACAGAAGTGAGCCTGACCCCTAACCCTGATGACAAACTCATAGGATAACTTTGAAAGTTTATGAGCCACTTTGAGAGAGCAAAACACACCCTGACATCCAAAGTTCCCTTGTAGTTGATAGTAATGAGCCATAAAATGTGTAGCGCCACTTTTGATAAGCCACCCATAATGGGTGCCCACATTTTATTAAACATTATAAGTAAATGGCGTAGTTTGCCAGGACTAGAAGCATAGCCGTTTCCCCCTCAGAATTAATTCAACAGAATACCAGCACACAGACCACACAGGGTTACACAGATCCAGCTGTTGACTATACAACCCTGAAGAAAATTTCCTGAAGTATCTGAGGTTTAATTTCATCATAAATAAAATGTATTCTCAAACTCATAAATTTTTCCTAAGGATTAAATGTAAGTAAAGAGCCTAGCCAAACACCCAACTGGTGTAAGGTAGGCCCCCTGTTCAGGTCGGCTTTCTTTCCTTTCTTATCTCTGTGTCTTCATTACAAACAACTGGACTTTGCACACCGTGGGATGAGAGGCCTTCATCAAAGCAGGTTCATCAAAGCAGATTGATCTATGAATTGCTACAATAAAAAAAGGTTCATAATAGTCCCATTCACCTACTGGTCCATGATGCTAAAATTGTTCTTCAATTTCAGAGCTTAGGAAATTAATGAACACCATCCTAGGACTTCAAAGGTATTTATACATAAAATTTCATTAAATTACATAAAGGTCTATATTACAAGATGCAAATATTCTCTTCGTTTTACAGGCCCTTGAATTTTTTGAGGTTGTTTGCTTCCAAGAAAACAACCAATCTGTGACCAAGATGTAATTAAAACCCACGATTTCTAATTCCCAGGCTTTGACTCCAACCTCTGAAAATGCTTCAATTCAATGAAACTAATGGCACTTTGGTCTCTGGAATTAGATCCTGTTATCAATGACTTCCACATGGAAAGATCATTCCAAAATGTGTAATTAACCAAGAAAATGCAAATAAACCAATTTGTACCTGCTATTTAGAAGTAAGACACAGAAATGGTTTGAGTCATTATTTGAAAATGTCACCCTTTTCTGCTTCAACTGCAGCCCATGTCTCCAGTTGTTTGCATATTTCTTTCAAAAATTACTTTTCCAGTAAAATATTTTAGATCATTTAATGATTCAATTATCAATGCAGAGTCCAGAATGGAGAGAGAAATACTTGGACACAATGGGAAGAAAATCCTTCTTTTAGTGGCCTTTAGCAATTTGATTCAGTACATATAAGGCTCTATGCTAAGTAAGGTGAAAGTCAAGCTCTCAGGCTAGCACAGCTGGAAAAATAGTAACACTTGGCCAATGTTAGAATGAACCTGGCAGAGTGGGTAAATGCTTATGTTTACCTTGTAAAAAGCAGGCAATAATCAGTATAATAACACAAGGCACAGTCCAGAAAGGCTCCTAGAGGAAGAAATAGTTAAGCTGGACTTGGAAGCTTCTTTCAAGTGACAGAGGCTCGATTCAAAATAACTTAAGAGAAAAACAGCACAGATAATTGGTTGTCACTATTAGAACAAGACCTGAGACACCCAGATGCTCCCAGTCTCTGTGGCTCTCTTTTCTTTGTGGTCATCTGCATGGTGACCTCATTGCATCCTACTGTATGAAGGCTCTCTCTTTGTGTTAGAAAGCATGGTCCCTGGCAGCTTTGGGCCAACATTACTCCAAATTAATGACACAGGAAGACAGACTTTCTCTTCTCTACCTTCGGTACAGGAAGGATCTCAAATGGGCAAGGTTGGGTTACTTGCTCAATCTTAGACAGATCAATATGGTCAGAAACAACAACTTGTCAAGTCCTGAGTCATGGCTGTGATTGGCAAGGCTTCTTGAAGTAGAGTTGCAGTGGGAAAAAAGCAGGTTGTCAAGGGAAGAAGGGCTCTGAATAAACTGACAGAATGAATGTATTGCAGTCTGGAGAGACAGATTAGCCACCTGAAGGGGGCACAGGCAAAATAGTTATTCCAAACAAGAGGAAAGATTTGAGCAAAAGCAAAAGAAGAAAAATTCACTGTGCTTCAGGTGAGTGGATAATATTGGTGAAACAAAATAAAAAAGAATGGAGGGATGGCTGAGATCAGAAAGATGTGCATTTTTGAGCTCTTAAGAAGTTAGCACTATGTTCTCAAAGACACAAAATGTACTACACATACATACACATATACACACATAAATACATACACATACATATATATGTGTGCATATATACGGGGTGGGTGTGTGTGTTACTGGAGATTGAACCCAGTGTCTTCACACTGAGTTGTGTCTCCAACACAATTTTTATTTTTTATTTTGAGACAGAGTCTTGCTAAATTTCCCAGACTGGGCTTGAATTTGTAATCCTCCTGCCTCAGCCTCCTTGAGTACTGAGGTTACAGGTATGCACTACAACACCCAGATAAGTGTACTCTATATTTTAAAGAGAGAATTATGACTATATCATGGAAGATATACTCTACAGAAATGTGACAGACAGGGAACTGGTTCGGAAAAGTATGATGGGTATGTCATTTTTGTCTGAAAGTATTCATTGCTCAGGGAGAACATCATTTAATGAAATGCTGGTGGGAATGTAAACCATGACATCCCACACAACCACGGTGCTTGATCAGTGCTAATAGTGCATTTCCAGGACCACCGAGATTGGTTCATGGGTAAGCACATGACTCATCAGAACCAACTGAATTCCTTCCTGATGCTTAACCCATGGATTCTTTCAGACAGCATACTGTAAATGTATAGACTGAGTTCCAGAAGCCATCCTGCCATTACAGAGAAAAAAATCTAAGTAAAACTAAATGAAACACATGAGAAAAAATATAGCTGAAAGGAAGAAAAGGGGCAGAGCTTTATTGACATTGCTTCATCCCTGAATTGATGATGTCTTGAAATTTCTGTATTCATGTGTCAATATGACTTTTCTGTGGTTTAAACTGATTTGAACTCTACCTCTTTTACTAAACAATTGAAAAAATTCTTATGGTAAAAATGTAGTTAGCTGTTAACAGTTGGAAATGATATTCTAAAATTTTGTTCAACTCCAAAGCTGTACTCTTTCTACTTAACTATTTTTGTGCTATCTTGCTTCTGTACCATTAGAAAGCAATATTCTAGGTGAGAAATCATAAAGGTCTAAACTAAGCAATAAGATCAGAGGGAAAAGAATCAAGAAATATTTGAGAAAGAGAAGCAATAGTTCTGGAGAGTTCCTTCAAACCATTTTAAATGTCAAGAAACAGTAAAGAATCTTAAGATTCTGAAATTGGGTTAAAACAAGTATAAGAGGCAAACTTGGCTGGAAAGGAACAAATCATCTTTCACTTGAAGTGCTTGTTGAATATCCAAGTGGAGCCATCCAGTGGGTTGTTAAAAAAACAGTTCTACTGATCCATAGGCAACAAACATATAGGCTTGAGAATTTGATATCTATGCCAGTGTTTACAGCTTCTGGAGAGGATAGGATTGTTCACAGATAGCCCATCAAGTGAAAAGTAAAAGATGGTAGAACATAGACCCTCTCTACTCCAAAATATCAGCATCTGAAGAACAGGGCTTTGTTCATGCTAATCCCTCAACTTGGAGTGTTCTTTTCCCTTTGTCTACTTATGATTGGAAATGACACCACATTATCTCATAGTAGTATCTCCTTGGGGCTTTGTTGGCTCTCCCATTCTTCATCCTCCAGCCCCTGGGGCTTCCTATAATAATATTCTTATTACAGTTCTTATTCTATAGCACTGGGGACCAGAGCAAAGACTTCAGACTTCATATAGACCTGAGCTGAATTTCCACTCTACAATCTTCCCGTTATGTGGCCTGGGCAAATTACCTAACTCTTTGAGACATGGTTTTCTTCTACAGAAAATGGAGGGTGGGACGGTGAAAAATGGCTCCCACAAGGGTGTTTTGAGAATGAAAGAGATCATAGCAAAACTTTTGGTACAATGACTGTCACATAGAAAATGCTAGAATTATTTGTGTATAAGTCTGTTTCAACCTTCCAGACTTCTTAAATGCAGATCCTGTGCCATTCATCTTTGTAACTTAGTTCTATAACGAAGTATTTGGCACCTAATTGTCACTCAGGAAATGTGTGCAGGCTTAATACATGAGTAGATACATCTAAATGCTTGATTATAGATTGTCTTATTTGTTCTGCATCAAATAGATCACAAAATAAACTCCTCTTATATTAAATCTCTTTCCCTATTCTCATTCTGTTGTGTTATGATAGGTGCTAGATGCTCAGTTGGTACAAAGAGACACTAAGGATGTGTTTATTATGACCAGTGTATCTAGTGCTCTATTTGAAATGGCAAACAAAACAAAGGGTCACATTTTCATTTTTTCTCAAATATTTACTATGTTTCACAGAATTAAGCACATCTTCTGAAATGTTTGTTTTCTAGAAACTCTAAAACAGTTTTCTGGGAATACAGGGAACATTTGAGATATTGATATAAGCTATAGGATCAATTTATCATTATCTATTAAGAGATGAAAAGATGTGAATAACTTTTGATTTTAGCAAGCTCACTTCTAGGAACTTATTCTTATGAAAAAAGAAAACAAAGATTAATATTTCAAAAAAACATGTTCATTACTACAGTATTTATGATGGTGGAAAAACAAAAATAACCTAAATGTTCTTCAATAAGGAAATTTCTCAAAAATTATAGTATAGTAGATAATTATTCAGTCAGTTAAATTATGTTTTCAAAGATTATATTATGTCATAGGAATATGTATACAACCTAATTTTTTTTAAATGTTGGAGCACAATTATACACATACAATCTAACAATGTGAAATGAACACATAAAAAGATCAGAAACAAATACAAATATCTCATGCTACCCCAACTCCATTTCAGTTCCTGAATTAAGGCAACAAAAATTTGGAACATTAGAAATACCTGTATATTAAAATAGTAAGAGTACTACCTTGGAGTAAAAAGATGAGATTATTTTAATTTTATTTTATAAATTATGCATATTTGCTAAATTAAAATACTTGATTTATAATTTAAAAGTTACCAAGGTACAAATATTCTTATTTTTTAATAAGAAGGGCTGAAAAGCATTTCCCTTTTTAACTCAGTGTTTTGGGGAAAACAAGAATTTATCTGCATCCGTGTGACTCCATAGCATTTTAAATCTCGGTTTAAGGTGCTTTTCTTCCTTTGTTGCAAGGTAGTTTCAGAAATATCCCCAGCCAAGAAAACTAAGTACTGAGGAATCTCCTGGTGCCCCAACCATGTTTGTCATTCAGTTTTCTCTCTTCTTGGTCCACCCAATCATGCATCCAAAGAACTGTAGATGTTCCTTTCCTGACTGACTTTGAGTCTGTTCACTTCTTGTCATTGCCTCTGCCGCTATGCCAGCTCAGTTTGTCTGAGGGACTTTATAATCTTTTAACTTGTCTGCATGCTTTCAGCCTTGATGCCTCCTCTTTGGGTCATGTAGCAAGGAGAGTGATAATCCTGAAGTGCAAACAAAAGAAAAACATTCAGGAGCTTCCCATGCCCAGGTTTAGTGAATAAGTCCTTAACACAGTACATGAGAGCCTCATCTGAGCTGCTTCCTCCTTCAGCCTTGAGCTTCCATTTCTTTCTCCTACTCTATGCCCAGTATGTGGAAGCTGTTGTGTCAGCTACCTAGAATGTGGCCATGCCCTCACTCACCTCTTGGTGAGTGGCTGTATCCACAGTGTTTTTTCTTTCTTCTCTTTTGTATCAGACAGAGCTCACTATAGGAACAGATTTTACATAGATATAGTTGACAAGACAGGCTTATGATGGCAGCCTGCAGAGTCAGGTGTGGAAGAATACAAAAGGGCTACCTGGGGAGCCAGCGGGGCCGGGGCCGAGTGGGGCTGAGTGATTGCAGGCTGACCTGGACCTGCTTACTCCAGCTTGCTCCACCAGCTTACCACCAGGCACCAGGACAGGGT